TGTCCGCAGTGCAGTCCCGCACCGCTTCTCACCGCAGAAACCTCGGGCAGAGCCTCTGTGGGATGCCGCGGCGGAGGGTGACCTGCCAACGGACTCCTCAGGAAACACAGGCTTTCGTGAATTAATTTTTGCAGTGTATAAACATGGGCCCTTATACGCCTACGTGCCTGTCTTTGCTCATCTCATCACTGCTCCTTTTGAAGAGTTGATCTTCAGCAAAAATAAACACAAACTCAGTCATTACACTGAAATGTGGTCTTAATTTAGCTTAGGAAAACCGTGAGTAAAACAGCAGCGGTAGTAGGCACAGTGGTATTTCTTGCATAAGCAGTGTTGTGGTTTAACCCCAGCCAGCAACTAAGCACCGCACAGCCGCTCACTCACTCCCCTTCCCCCCCTCCCATGGTGGGAGAGAATCACAAGAGTAAAAGTGAGAAAACTCGTGGGTGGAGATAAAAACAGTTTAACAGGGAAAGGAAAAGCCACATGCTCAAGCAAAGCAAAACAAGGAATTCGTTCAGTACTTCCCATCAGCAGGCAGGTGTTCAGCCATCCCCAGGAAAGCAGGGCTCCATCATGTGTAACCATTACTTGGGAAGACAAACACCATCACTCCAAATGTCCCCCCTTTTCTTCCCACCACTTTATATGCTGAGCATGACATCATAAGTCTGGGATATCCCTTTGGTCATTTGGGGTCAGCTGTCCCACCTGTGTCCCCTCCCAACTTCTTGTGCACCTCCAGCCTCCTTGCTGGTGGGGCAGTGTGAGAAGCAGAAAAAGCCCTGACCCTGTGTAAGCACTGCTCAGCAATAACTAAAACATCCCTGGTTTTCAACACTGTTTTCAGCATAAACAAAAACATAGCCCCATACCAGCTGCTAGGAAGAAAACTCTATCCCAAAAAGCTGGCAGAGTAGTTACGCACTGATTCAGTGGGTGTCAGCTGGATTGACGTGCAAATGACAGTGATGTGTTGACACATTATTCTGATGCCGTACAGTACTGGCAATGTATCCATGGAATATGTGACAAAGAATCACTCATTCAGTATGTTTTAGCACACCCAACAAATAATAACGGAAATATTTCCAGACATTAATAAAATAACCTTCAGCATAGTTAAGTGCTGCGATTAATTCTAAATTGTATTTTACAGATTTTACTTATTGTCTTCAGTTGTCTCCATAAATGTAGAATTTGGATGCTGCTCCAGAGTTCCAGCTATTTGGTGACTTTGAATTTGAATGTAGTGATAGCTTGAACTGTCTGAGGTGTGGGATACCGCTGCTGTCGACTTTATGTACAGAAATTAGCGTAGTCTTCTTGCAAAGTAAAGACAGCTTAGATGTAGTTTGTTACTTTGATGGCAGTGTGGTTACCTACTTGCAGTTGAACAATCTTACTCAGATGACTAAGGTTAGATAACCTGATACAAGTCTGCAGTATAGTTAGGTGAAGATGGGTGAAGTGACTTGCCAGAGGTCCTTCAAGAAGTCAGAGGCAGAGCTGGCTGGTTACACAACCCTTGATGCCTGTTGCTTTTACTGCTGTACAAAAAGGAGCTTGGTAGTTGGCTTTATTAATTTTTTTCTTCTCTCTTACAACCCTGTTTTTCAGTCCATCAGAGCAAAATTTTTAAAAGAGCATTATTCACAACATTTCTCTAAAATTCAGTTATAGTTCTGTTAAATGTGTATCACTAGAATGGTATTATGAAAGCTAAGATTTATTTTTGCATTTACAGCAAAAGTATTGTTATATATTGTTTGAAAAAAAAATCTTGAGAAACCTACTTTTATTGTCTTCATTTTCTTATGTTTTTTTTTTAATTACATGCTTACAGTATTGTAGGTGATGATGATGGCGGGAAGCTTTTTACCCCTGAGGAATATGAAGAGTACAAAAGAAAAGTATTACCAATTCGGTTACAGAACAGGTTGTATGTGAGCTGGAGATCTCCAGCTGGCATGGACTGTAAGCTCGTGGGACCAGAGATGCTCTGCTTTTGTACTCACCGGTAGGAATCTTTTCATTTTTTTTGAGCTGTTGTATTTTTTTAAACTGGGAAAATGTAAAATGTTTCCAGATACATTACAGTACAGTATAGGAAAGTTAATTTAAGGTCCAAGAGTTGAGAAAATTAGGTTTTAAACCATAAGAACTATTCTTAAATCTAAATATCAATACATTTTTTTGGAGACCAAAATGATTTTGTAGTTTTCAATAAATTCAGCTTTAAGGCACAAGTTATTGTAGATCAGATTGATTCTGATAGTGTTGTAAAAATGAAATGAGGATTTGTGATATTTATGTAAAGAATGGATGTAAAAGCACCTGATATTATGCATTTAATTGAAAATTAACAAATTACAGTAATTAACGTAATTAAAGATACATCAGAACAGAACTTGTAAGATAAATTATAAGCCTTTCAGCTAGTTTTCTGATGAACACTAACAAAGTTATCAAAGTTATTGTTTTTGCCTGTTTTAGGTATAAGCAACACAAAACGGACTATGAAGTGATCCCCGAAGACCGTCCTATTTCTGTGCCTTGCAGAGTGAGCCGTTGTCTGTGCCAGTCCTATCACTATGTCCCTTTAAATGGCACACAGCCCATCCGCTGTAGATGCAAACACTTTGCTGATCAGCACAGTGCAGCACCTGGATTTTCATGTAACTCTTGTAAGTTACTGATGGGCTTGCAGCGTTCTTTGCTAGGAAACTTAACAGGAACAGCATGTGAGAGATCCGTGTTCTGCCCAGAGTATTGGGTGTGTGCTGCACTTGTCACTGGTGTGTATTTGGTCCTTGCAGAAGAGTGGGAAATGGGAAGGAAGACATCGCCTTTTGCACAGGAGGGTTTAGAACAACATCTGTAGCCTCCCCAAGTTCTGTGAAGGAGCATAAGTTTTTGAATGATTTGGTTAGTACATACGGAGACAGGCAGTACGAAAGCACCTCGTTTGCAGTTTGTCATTTCCACTACTGCCTGCACACGACTTCTCTACTTGAACTTGGTAGCTCGAGAGAGAGAAGTGTTGCTCTCCATTCCTCTGTTGCTTGGTTGAATATAACATGAATGTATTTTTATATCTTTTCTCAACTCAATAGGAAGTAGCACTCTGTTCCCAAGTAGTACTATTGTTAGCACTCCAGCAAAGCAATTCCAGAGCAGACAGATTGTGAGTCCAGAAATGCAAATAGAAATGGAGTTTCAAGCGAAGGGTTTGAGAAGGCATTAAGAGGAAGCTTCAGTTGATCGAGGTTATTGTAATGAAACAGCAGTTTCTATTAACCATAGAAACTAAATAATGCATAAAAATATTTGAAGCCTCAGATTACATAAGCTGAATATATTTTGTTAGAGTTCCATACTGTTAGTAAATTTCTTTCATTAAGTCTATCTAATCTGTACAGGAAAAATCGTAAACGGCTTTTGCTGAATGAGAATCATATCCCACAGAATAAAACATAAAATATCTGTATGACAGCCTTTCGAGAATTTGCTCTAAGTAATGTGAAAGTCTTAAATGTGAAATTGGATGATTCTGACTGAATCCTCAGAACAGTGTTTTTAATAATCATTGACATTATGCACTTTTTCTAGTGTTTCTCAAAAATACCTGACACTTCTGAGGGCTTCAAAGATTACACAGAGAAGTGCCAAGCCCTGCTTCTATTTTGGACTTGCATTGTTTTAATGTACTGGTACTAGTCCAGTCCAGTGCTGTGTAAATCTAATGTGATAGATGAATTAGAGATATGCTTTCTTTATAATTGAAAAAAAAGTATTGCTGTTGCACATTATATATGTATATACTTTCTTCTGTGTCCAAACACAGAGTAAGAGCTCTATTACTGAGGAGTGCTCCAAATGATATGAAAAACCTTGTAACATTTACAAGAATGTGATCCTTGAACATATTATACAAGACTTAAAAAAACTTTCTTGGTGCTCTGCAAAATGAACTGTAACTGGGAGTAGGAAGCAGGGTAATTTGTATAATTAAACATTTGCAAAATCAGTTCCTCAATTTTTTGTTCACCTCATTGCTCCAGAAGGGCTTCGATGACAGTCTTAGCTGTAGTTAGGGCAGCTATGTCACTTCACTCTGTGTTTTTAACGTCACATGTCACTTGTATAACTATTTCAGTTCCATCCTGTGGGCTATGCAAGCTTAAAAAAAACCCCTGAAAGTCAGTCTAATGGTACTCTTACATAGAACCTATTTTGCTGTTGCCACAGCGTGTATTTACTACTCAGATAATTTTGCTAATTTAAAAAGACATTTAAATTGTGATTTGTATCATAAATTGCCATTTGATGTTTTCTGGTCCTGCAACATTGACATGTGCTGTACACGTTTGGAGACAGTACTGCCAAAATGCTGGCAGGTTGTCTTCTTTACCCAGTGACAGAATTTTTTCTCTTTTTTATTTTTTGTCAGGAGGGATAGAGAAGGGTGTTGCTAATGGCAGTGAGCACAAGTTGCAATATAGGAAATCCAATTAGATATTAGGAAAGATATGTGTGCTCCAAGGGAAGACCAACATTGGTCCAGGCTGCTCAGAGAAGTGGAATCTCCATCCTCAGAGGTACTCAAAACCTGTGACTGAATGAGACCCTGAGACTGGACGATGGCTGTGATCTAATCCCCACATTCATCCTTTATGCTGTTTTATACAGCATTTCCATATCATGATGAAAAGAGGCTGTAAAAGGTTTCAACAAAGATAGCTGATTGCCCCAAGTCACATATGTGCTTCCAAATAGGAAGCATAGCTGGATGCTTTTGCAGTGAAGGAACTCTAGTCTTTGACAAGATCCGTTTAGAGAAACACCGTTTTGTCTGCAGTGAAGTATAGATTCCACTATAAGTGGAATATATATATTATGAGTATAATCTCACTCATGGCATTTATTTATTTGTTAATTAGGTTCCAAGTGTTCAGGCTTCTACAGCTGCTTTACCTGTGCGTGTGGTCAGCCAACATATGCTCATGAAACAGTTGTGGAAACTAAACAAGAGCGCTTAGCCCAAGGAAGGCCTGTGGGGCTGGATGTTCCTTATGCTGCTATGGGAGGACTGACTGGTTTTAGTTCACTAGCAGAAGGCTACATGAGACTTGATCCCAGTGGAATAGGTAAGTACAGCTGACCTGAGATGACATTTTAATACTCCAACTAAGTAGTTTGGAAAAGTAGCAATTCAACATAGGCTATCAAAGTTTGAAGGCAAACTGTAGCAAGAGGAGTAGGACTTAAGAGAGATTTATTTTTTTCAGCAGTCCTTAAGTGTGCAGAGACCACCATGGCCATCTTGTCTGACTTCCTGTAGTGAACTGATAAAGAAAAATCTTTATCAATAATTCTGGTGTTCAGCCCAGAAGCTTCTGGTTGAAGTGGAGCATACCTTTTAGAAAGAACTCTGTAACTTCTGTTTTTCTCTTAATATTTCCATGTTATATTTATGTTTATCCTTTAGCCTAATACTGCCCAGGTATTTCTTAGTTACACAGTTACAATATTTTTTTTTCCCAAACTCAAAGGTTAATAGCTGTTCAGCGTAAAAAAAAGAGGTCAGTTGTAGAACTTTATTTTTGACAGGCACGTTAGTTGGCTTTAATACCCCTGCTGCTCTGTGATTTTGTGTCATGTAGTAATGGACACATTTTGTCCTGAAATACTGTTTTATGTATTATTGCCATGTTCTTATTATTTCTTTTTTAAATTCTGATCTGGTATCTTGGATTCGTCTGAAGTTTAGAAACTATCACATAGCTGTAGTAATTAATGAAAAAAAGCTTTACATTTGTTTTGAAGCCTTTTTTTGCTTTTTTAAACTTGAGTTTGTGGGGTCTGCACTGAGTGTTGTAGATACTAATCTGTAGCCTTAATTTGACCCCATCATGTATGTTCTTAATATAACTCGTGATGTTAATTTTTGTTCTCATTCAACTTGTTTTCTAACAGGGAGTCCTTCTGCTGAACTTCTAGAATCCCCTGTTACCAGCATGGATCGTCCATTTCTGAAAGCGTTTCAGGGACCTTCTAGTTCTGCTCAAACCATCCCACAGACAGCAGGTGCTATATTAGTAAGGACTGTTTTAGAAAAAGTATTTAATATAAAATTAATTGGTTTTATTTATGAGTTGAAGGATGCTTAGGGCTAAAATCAAAGTTAAAAATTAAAATGAGTATTGAAGCCTTGTTATGTGAAAAGTTAATAATACAACATTCATGTACTTAAAAGTGCTTAGAAAAACAGTTTTGTTACTGCTTGTTATTTTTGGTCATGATGTGCTTTTTAACTTCAATGTTTTTTTCTAGCATGTGGTATCTTCCCCATTAATAGTGTCACTTTTTCATTGGATCAGTTTTTTAAATTTTTAATTCCTACCAGGATCTCATAATATCTGAATGGACTGTACATACTCAGTGCAATCCTGTGAAACTGCATTCTGCCAGAAAGTCTTTTCTGCATGGAATTATGGGTTGGCTATGCTTATTTTATGTCCCTTATTTAGTATAAGAATTTAGCAACTAATAGAACTGTTGAACTCCTCAAAGAGTATTTATAATAGCTTTCAGCCTAAACTAAAGAGACTACTCTTTGGTCCCAGTTGCTGGGGTTTGTTACTTGCTTATAAAGGTGAGTTCTCATTTTAACTGTGTTTTGCCAAATATAGAACATAACTAATGGAATAGCAAGTATCATTAACAAAAAAAGTTTGTTTTTTTGTTCTTTAGGGGGTTCTAGTGCCACAAAGCAAGTTTCTCATGGAAGGCATTCAGAAGATGATGACATGGCTTACTTTGAAAAACGTCATCAAGAACAGGCAAGTTACTACATTTATTGCTTAATTCAAACATATTTTCATAAGAGGATATTTAAAAAAGATTAATCATTTAAGTGGCATATAAATGCATTATATCCTTTGTTCTCTCCCTGAGAAAACACTAGCTTCTTAAAGTTTTAAATACAATTATGATTTATTGCAGGATTTCAGAAGTCAGTCATGTCTGGGATGGTATTTACCTTAACTGGTCAGATTTTTATTGAGGTAACTCCCCATTACAGAAAACCAAAATATTTTACTATGTGACAAAAAGAAACAACAAAGGAGGCTCACAGAAAGTCACCTGTGACATTTAAGAATGTGTGTTTGCTACCTCATTTATAAAACTTTATGATGTTCTTTTCCTTATGAATGTCTGTGTAGTCGGGCTAAATCTGGTGCGTCTTTCTTACAGCATCTGAATCACCTCTTTAGACGTGCTTCCTCCACCCCACTGACAGTATCATAAATTTAAATGCCCTGCGGTCTAGGTTACTTAGATGCTTAAATCCTTATTCTTTCTCCACATTAGCTCCTTAGCTCCACCATCTCCACTGGAAGTATGTCTTGACTGTTTATTAATTCTTTTTAAGGCAATGTTGCACAATTAACTTTTAAAATCTTAAGTGCCGTTATGCTCACTGCTTGCAACAAGGTGTTTTGTTAATGAAAAAGTTGTTCTAGCTTTGTGAGATTTTAAATTATTTCCTTTATTCTGGAACTCATCACAAAATATGGTAAGATATTATAAATACAGTATCAGTTTATAGGACAAAACGTGTTACTATCAAATCCAAATTGCTAAATTCCTTTTTCCCCTAAGATTTCATTTTCTTTGCAAAAGGTAGTAGGAATTTCAGATCCGAATGGGGAAAAATGTTTTAAAATGAGTTCCTATGTGGATCAATAACAGGATTGCTTTGCTTTGTAGACATTCAAATCCAAACTGGGGTCTTGCTTCCTTTTGACACAATTTCATGGGGAATAAAAGCATGTTAAAATATTATTTTATTTTTCCTTGCATTTTTGATAGCAACATTATATCTTATGTTAGATGAGATGGAAAAGTCCATGCATCTCTTTTAAATAATTGCTCTAAGTAGAATTTAATTCGCTAATGTAACAATACTTGAGAACAACTGTTGCTTCTAGAAACAACAGATATATTTGTTTGGATTAATAGTCTTACTACAAAATGGCAGAGTTAAGTTACGTGTATTGGTAAATCATACCATACTGTAAGAGCCTACTGTGTAGAAAAATCTTATGAGAGGAAGACATGCCCTCGTGGGTCAGTGAGGAGACACTGAGATGGAGGTTTAGCATCTACCTCAGCCACAAACTTCTTGTGTGACTTTGTGCATGCTGGTTAGTCTAACTGCATCTGTTGTACATCTGTGATAAAACTTACTTACCTTTCATTGCCATAAAGATAAATCCGTCAACATTTGTGAGGCACTTTGGCCTCAAGGGATATGTAAATACTTAGATTGCCATTATCAGAGATAAAGGCAGCCCTGGTTTAAATAGGGGAGGAGCTGCCGAGCTATGGAAGTGCTCCTTTGTCCTATGATGCAAAAGTAAGCAATGCTAGGTCGGGCTAGTAATGATCTGTAGCTCTCTCCATTGCATGTATCACTCTGGTAAATTTATGACTGGATGTAGAGATTTAGTATTGTATTACTGGCTGACTTGCAAATTAGTGCAATTAGTGCATCAACCACTGTTGATGTCTGTCTTTGTTGCAGCTGAAAAAGGGAAAGGCTGCTAAACGGAAAGATAAAAGTCCAGTGCCATCACAGAAGCCACGAGATGAATAAAGAAATATTTATTATATGGCACAGTGTTAATCGTTGTATTAAAGAGTGTTTTCCCTGTGCCTACCTGCATACGTGCATTTCTTCATTTCTTTATTCTGCTGTTTTGGTCTATTGCTGAAATTAATTTAAAATTATCTTGTTGTATTAAAATTGGTACTCTAATCAATGCATTTCTACTCTCCAGAGTTGTTACACAGATATTCCTCTGAGAACGGAAAAACACATTTAGAGACGTCTCTAAATTCTGGACAATTTTTACTTGGTGGCATTTGTTCTGTTAGTATTGACACTTTAATGTTTTCTTTAAATATTTTTTTCCCTTTGTGTTGGTTTCATTGGCTTTACATAATGTTCAAACATACCCTTCTTCTCTTGCACTTCTCCAGGCTCTGTTCTTGCCCACGTATAAATATTTTTTACACGTGAAATTCTGTAGGTATCTAAACCCATTTCCACACATACTTAGTAGCTACTTGAAGGGATCGTGCTTGTACACTTTATCCCAGTACCATTTTCCCGATTCTGTTTGTCTGATACTGTCCATGATTCTATTATACTAAATTTCTGAAAACATTAAGTGGAAATGGATATGCTTTTTATTGCATGTAAACAAATAATTATATTGTGTTTGATATAAACTTAGTTATCCAACAGATACTCTTTCATCATGTCTATCCAACACCGAGCAAGTCCCTCAAGAAGGGAGATGTGCTTTTGTATTCTTTGTCCATATTCACAGCTGTGGCAGCATAGTTAAAATTTAAAATTTGATAACTTTGTGTGGTGGTTTAAATCTGTGAAGCAGCACAGCAAGAACCTGGTACAGAGTAACTGGCAGAGGCTGCAGTTTAAGAGGCAAAACCAGAGCCTGAGCTAACTTTGTTAGTCTCCTTTGAAAACAGAGAGGTGTAAGTCAGTTTGTCCTTAAAAATACTTGAAGGTACCTCTTGGACTGAAGAGTTTTCAGGTGGTATGTGTGTGTTCTGAGACTTTACAGCAAGAGCTGGGAGACGCTTACAGAGCTCTGATTCCCATCAGAGAGAATGCCCTCTGCGTGAAAAGAGGTGACGTTGAATGCATTTGGTGTAAGGCAGTTTGCTTTTTTCTTCAGAGATCAGCTGTGGGAGAGGAGTTCTTGGGGGTGCATGCAGGTTGTACGTGACTGATGGAGGTGGCTGGAATCTGAGTGAGAAGGGAATGGATGGCTCAGTTGCCCAAACTGAAAGATTAAAAAAGGCCACTTACTGTAACTCCGAGCTATACTGCCATTACTGCAGATGCCCATCAGAGAGGTTAATCTGTTACTTTAATTTAAATGCATAATATATCAAAGTGTCTAATGTATGTTTCAAAAGTACCTTTACTTTTAAATTCTACACAGTAACATACATGCTTTAACTTAAGAAATAAAAATATTAATTTGAGCTCCCTCTTCTGGTCCTAATATACAATAACTGCTACAGATATTCAGTTTCACAAGTAACTGGGGATTTCACAATAGAATTACAAGAAACAAACAAATGTAAATAACATTGATTTAAAAAGGTAAATGAAAATATAGAAAAAATACTTTTATTTTAGTGAGATTATTACAAGCTTAATAGCGGAAGTTTATTCTGCTTCCATATTTATCCCCGTGGCTATACCCAACAGGGAATGCAGTTCCAGAAATGTATGTCTGTATTTCAGAGATGAGGTTTCTCACAGCAAAATATTGTTACAGACAGAGGTTTTAATAGTTACAAAACCCCCTGTATTTTGTGTTTCTTTTAATACTAATAACTTTTTACTTTTAGGAAATAATGTATTGTGCTTCTGTTGATGTTTTGAGTTAAAAATACTTGTCAGTTTTAAATGTTTGCTCTGCCAAATTCAGTCTTACTAAACTGTACTTTGATCATCATGAACTAGTTTTATCAAAGTAAATTTAAAAAAAAATCTGTGCTTAAAGTTATTTAAAATTTACACTTAAATTATACTAAAAAGTTATTACATTTATTTAATGGTATTTCTTTTTAGTTGGAAAAGGTGGAATCATAAAAATAGCAACTGCATTAAATATTGCTTAGGAGTTCTGGTCACTTTTCACCCATGTTGATGACGTCCAAGTAAAAGAAACTCACTTTCCTTCCTAGAAGGCGTATTTTTGACTTCTCGGTACTCATGTAGTACTTTTTTACAGAATTTTAATTCATATCTATACATGAAAAATCAGGTATAGTGTATCTCATAATGTTGCTGGCTATGAAAACTGGACACTGATGACATAAGTGAAATTTGCACTTAACTGGAATTACTCTTATTTTCATCCTAAAAAAAAAGAATCATAATTTTGTAGGATCAAAATGGCAACCACCAATTCTATTGAAAAATCTCTTCACATTTCTATTAAGAAAATTCTGTAAAGGTAAAAGCAGAGACCAAATGCTGGTATGTTTGCCATTAACAGTGGTCATTAAATAAAGAGCTCAGTTTGACATGTACTTGTTGATGGTTTGTTTTCCTGAGACCAGTCATGAACTTTGAACATAATATCATGGGACAGATAAGTTATCTGTTCATCTGTGTGATTTATTTGTGGGCGTGTATCTGTCATTCAGCTGGACACATTAACTGTTTCTGACTCTAACCCAAGGAATCTGGCACAGGAGAAATGGTTTGTACACACACAGAGTGCTCTGAGCTGGTAAAGCTTAATTATATAGGTCCTAGGCAATGCTTAAGCACTTCTCATTTTTAAATAGCTGGCTTTCAAATAAATTATTTTGCCATTATTGTAACACTTCTAGAGTCTAGAACATGATTTTTTAACTGGTTTCAATTATCCTATGAAAAGCCCTAGACGTGCCTTGGTTATGTATGATGGCAGACTGGTCAGGGGATGGCAAGGGGCTCCTTCCCCTTCAGTGCTGCTCTGATACTAAATATAAATGTGTCTGTCTGTCTCAGGGGTGGGAGGAAGGCCAATGTGATGTGTGAATTCGCAGGCACTAGCGGCATCCGTGCAGACTTACGTTGTCAGGTTGTCAGTGCCTTTACAGCACGCTGTGCATGTTAAACGGCTTGCAGGTCTCGTCTCTGTATGTCCCTGGAGTCTCTAGTGGTAGTTTTGTTGTAGCCCTGCAGCCTAAGGAAACAGACAAAATACTTGTCTCTTTCTTTATATGCAATAGTATTTTTTATTAGCACAAATATAGTTGAAAACAACAACAAAGGTTTTCCAGTGTGAAAGACCTTGCACAGGTGTAGCTGGTTTTTGGTTTGGTTTTGTTTTGTTTTCCCCCATAACAAAAGATACTACTTCTGTCGAGAAGCCTACTGCTGCTTTGGAGCCCTTAGCATTTGTCTTCTGGCAGAGGAAGCCGTTACTGGTTTTACACTGGTTTTGCTCTGATTTTCCACTCAGTGTGCCTGCTGGCCCTGCCTGGGCACTAAGCCCATGTGCTCCTGCAGTTCCCTCCGGCTGGAGAGGCCCAGGCCCCACCGTGACATGTCGCCTGCGTAGCACTGGCACCTCTGCCTCGCTAATGGCGCCACCAGTTTTCAATCTTGTATTCAGTAAGGCAGGAAAATCGCACATCGCTGTATGTGGAACCAAAAGATGAGCGCGGACACGTCGCGCAAGCGGAATCAGATGATCCCGTTCAGAGGGTGGGTCGAGGCCGGTGGCGGGGATC